TTTTTTAATAGTGATCTTTCACTGCTTGAAGGAATCTCAGACAATACTGCATATTCCCTGTTGGTCTAGTTCTTTTTACTCGAAAATAGAGTAGGGAAGTAGGTCAGGGCTATGCTAAAAGCAAAAATAAGCACTCTCATTTTTTTTCCCCAACATCGTTGCGTTTTTGCCTTGGCTGTAAGACCAATAACACTAGTGCCTGTTGGCTTCATTAATATCTGACTTGTGGTCCGATTCCATATGGCATCTGTCCTAGAGGAGCCTCATAGTTGGCTTCTTACCAAGGGTAGGAACAGAATTGGCACTCAGGATCTTGTTGCAGTTTGCAGGCAAGGTGCCAGCAGAGATGTGTGTGCCTGTGTCCAGGGCCTGCAAGTGGGCACTGAATCCACAGGAAATATCCACCTAGAGAAACCCATTCATGGAGTAATAAACAAGGACAGTTATCCTTTAAGTCTTACTGTGACCTCATTCTGCAGATGCCTGGTTGTTTTTTTTTTTTGTTTGTTTGTTTTTGTTTTTGGTTTTTTTTTTGACAGGTAGAGTTATAGACAGAGAGAGACAGAAAGGTCTTCTTCCGTTGGTTCACTCCCCAAATGGCTGCTATGGTCTGCGCTGCACCGATCCGAAGCCAGGAGCCAGGTGCTTCCTCCTGGTCTCCCATGCAGGTGCAGGGGCCCAAGCACTTGGGCCATCCTCCACTGGCCCCTGGGGCCACAGCAGAGAGCTGGACTGAAGAAGGGTAACTGGGACTAAAAGCCGGCGTCCATGTGGGATGTGGGCGCCACAGGCAGAGATTAACCAAGTGAGCCACAGCGCTGGCCCCAGATGCCTGTTCTTAAGGTGTGATATTGGAAAAGTCACTTTACCTCTGTGGCTCAATTACTTGATTTTCACAGTGGAGCTGATGATTGTCACTGGAACTGTTTTGATTGTTTGTCAAGTTCTTGACAAAGATTTCTGGCAAAGAGTAGGCTCTCAATTCATTTTATTTTAATCAAAATTCCAGCACTGTGAAAGATATTGTACTGAGTGCTCAGGATGGTTAGGGAATGAAGAGAAGTGAGCTAGTCTAATTTGCCTAAGCCCAAGATCAGATTCTTTTAAATGGAAAGCCTTAGTAAGGGTCTTGCTGGGATTTGTGGCATTTGTTCCCATGATCACTTCTCTTGGAAGGACATACTGGTTCTGTGTGGTCTCTGGCACACACTGCCACAAGTTTACCTGTTGAGCTCATAAATTACTTACTGGCTTTGCAGTACCAGCACTTGCACTTGAGGACAAAAGTAGTCCATGAGTCTCCACTAGAAATAAGTATCAACCAGGATGAAAGTTGGGACTTCAAAGGAGGAGCCTACTAGATTGTAACTTGTTGACCAAGCTGATGCACTTCCATCAGGATCCAGGGTGTGGGCTTCAGCAACAGTGAAGTGGTCGGTGGAATAGAACCACCTATTCCGCACAGAAGCTTTTGGTTAGGAAGTGTGGCAGTGATAGTGGTGTTTTCGATTTTTATGACATCTAGACAATGGGGAATTTACTTAAGGTTGGGGTTATTGTACCCTTAGCACTTGATGCAAATCTTTGAAATTGTTGTCTGCACAACGGCAGGTAGTTAGGAAGAGATGTAGGTCACGATAATAGGCGCTTAGCAGTGTGACCATGGGAATAGAGAGGTAGGGTGTCCGTGGAGGTGGAAACATGCTGATGTGATTATTCAGAAAATGTGGGTTTCAAAGGCACCTTAAAGGACTCCTAAATTCTGTACTTTGCATCCTCTTTGCCACCAACGAAAGGTGTGTGTATAAATTTCTTTTACTCCTTTTACTTGGCACTGTGATTTCAAGGACCCTGTAGGACTTGCTCTTGGCTTTGTCTTCCCATTGATTTGCATGAGCTGTCCCCTTCCTATCCAAAGCCAAGACAGAACAGAATAGTTAGCCACACAATACATTAGAAATATTTTATACTTTGAAGCCCAGTAGGCCCAGTTTGAATTTTAGCTCTGCAATTTATAAACTGTAATCTTAGGAAAGGAACCTTTTTTTTTTTTTTTCGATTTTGGCATCTGGAAAATATTTTGTTATAGGATTGTTTAAAGGCTTGAAAAATGTAGATTAACCAGCACAGTATCTCATATATATATATTTTTTTTCACTAAAATATACATGTTATTTAGGTTATGAGTTGTGTTTGAGTCTATCCTGTAACAATTTTGGATTGAAAAGTGGATTTGTGTTGATCACTCATTTCAAGTGCATCACAAATGCAAAGAAGGGGTTAACAGTGGAAGTTGCTGACACCTCCAGAGCACTTACTGTGTGCCATGTCCTATACTGAGTACTTGACTGTGAGCTGGAGTCTGCTGTTCGCATTTCCAGATGAGTGATCTGAGGCCTAGAGTGGCACAGTGTGTGTGTGTGTGGGGGGGGGATGCAAGCTAGATTATGGGCTCGCTCATGCCCCTAGCCACTGCACTACACTGCCACAGGTTAAGATGTCTCCAGGTGTCTGTGAAGGATGGCTGATGGAGAGGAATGACATGCATGCACTCACCCATATAAAGACCAAAGGTGTTAGGCTTAAGTCTGTTTCTCACAAGAGCTTTCCTTCCTTTATGCATCTTGGTGGATTCAGTATTTTCTGAGAACGTATAGATAAGGCTTCTCCATTTTGAGAAGCATGGAAGCATGTTTGCTCTAGAATTCTGGGAGTTTGGATGTCAGGATTAGTGTTCTGCTACCTAACTCCTCCAGTTGTATTGATTGTGCTCTGTAAGAAAGCAAAATGCAAAAAAGGCCCCATTTTCTTGAACTTCCGTTTTCTGTTAGCTGAGATCTGTGGCAACACCTTCCTCTTTTCATTCTAGCTGATTGTCAACAGCGGTAACCACGGGTCCTTCCTGTCCCAGAAATAAAGTCTTGCCACACTCTCAGCTCTCAGCATGCTCTGAACACTGCATTCCGTACTGCATGGGGCTGTGCCACCTCCACCTTGCTACAGTCACTGTTCCAAAGGGTTCAAGTGTTTATTGAATTCTCAGAGCGATTTGAAAAAGAAGTATAGGTGAGTAAGAACAAGATAAATGGCTCTACTCTAATGTAAACAGCCATTATGTTACACCTAAATTGTTGAAAGAAGATTTTGTACTCAATATTTTATTCAGCAGAACATTTTTTGTAACAATAAGGATGATTAGAGAAAGCTCTGAAAGTGCTTCAAGTTAGACAGTCTGATTGTTTATCTCAACGATAAAAAATAAAGTAGTAAAATAGGGGGATAAGAAGGAATAGAAATTGAAGCCAGGACCTAGTGAAAAATATTTGACATCATTTTCTATTTGGGATTAAATATAATTCAGGGTTTTTCCTTTCTGTGTGTTTTTGGGTTTTTAACCATTAGGTATCATGGGATTTTGTTTGTTTATTTGTTTCTTTTAGGGAGCTTAAGACTAGCCTAGGTGCACACCAGACTTAAGTTACTCTGATTTTGTTTGTTTGTTTGTTTTAACCAAATAAGGAACTCTGATGAAGATCTTTGAATACCTTACTGAAATTACACCTGCCATTTGCCACTTAGTTTGAGTCAGTGAGTCCCTTCTCTGCTTTTTTGGCTGTGGAGTGGTCATGGACAAGGTTCTGTAGCTACTGTATCTGCTTGGCACTTGTTGGGGTGAATTGTATTTTCATAGGCTAAGGGAACCAACCCAAGATCAGGGCTCAGCAAGTGAGTGCCTCTCGGAGCATTCAGCCTTGTCGTGTGGCAGAGTGGCTAGGGTTAGGGTGCCTCTGGAGGAAGAGAACTTGAAGAGGGTGTGTGGGTCTACTCTGCTTACTGCAGCTCTAACAGGGGGATCCAAGTGAAAAAGGAATGTCTTCCGTGTCAGATTACATCATGGTGCCTAGAACTGCAGGCTCTCAACAAGCGTTGTCTTCCAAAAGGGTGTTTGGGGAAACAACATGAAGGAAGATCGATATGTAAAAGGTTTTGGTTTTGCTCTTTGTATTGGCCCCAAATATTTACTGAAGCTAGAAGAAAAGGCAGACTCCTTCCTTCTCTCTCCCTTTCTCCCCCCCTCCCCAAACGTGTGATTGTTTAGAGCTCAAGTGCAACATCTGGAAGTCAGATATACAGAGAGCAGTTTATGAAGTGTGAAAGAATTGAAATATTCAATATCCTTTAGTGGGAACTCAACTTTCTGGGGCTAGATTTTTTTTCCCCCTCCCAGGCACAAAGCAGGCAATTCTGAGATTGCCTTTGCCTCTCTGAATTAAACCCTTTGTGCCTGGGTCCCATAAACAATGTGCTTTTTGAAGGGGAGCCCCCTCCCAGCTCCAGCCCTTTTCTCCAGCGTGGGCAGCCAATCAGCTGCCGAGAACTGCATAGCTGGAGCGCTTTCCATTCCGAGCAGCAACAACGTACTAATTTGATGCACACATGGATGCCTCGCGCACTCTGCGAATTCATCACCAGCATCTTGCATTAGTCATCTGACGGACTGCCAAGTGTTTCATTTTCTTTCCATGTGACTTTATTATTACCACCTCTCTCTCTCTCCTGTCTTCCAAAAAAGGGCGGGGAAGAGGGAAGAGAGAGAGAGAGAGAGGAGAAATCCAGCCCTGCCTTTCTTTGCCAGAGATAGCCAGTGTAGGGCTGATAACGCCGCAGCCTTGATGGCAGCCGTGCAGAGCGAGACCTGCACGTAACTTGCAGCTGCCTCCCGAGCCCGGTTCGGAGATGTCCACGCCCCGGGTGACAGCCGGCGGGGCGCTGCCCAGTGCTCCGGCTGTGAAGCCGACCGGCAGCAGCGTGCAGTGAAAGCCTCGCCGCCGAGCAACAACCTTAATGGTGCCTCTGCTTTGTTGTAGTTCATCAAATTAGGCACTTTCCCCGGTGCTCCTCTTCTTCCTCCTTCCGCCTCCCCCAACCCCCACTCTTTTTTTTCTTCCTGTCCCTCACCCTGCAGCCCTAACTCTGGCTCCCGGTTCCGTTTTTGACAGTAACGGCACAGCCAACAAGATGAACGGAGCTTTGGATCACTCAGACCAGCCAGACCCAGATGCCATTAAGATGTTTGTCGGACAGATCCCCCGGTCCTGGTCCGAAAAGGAGCTGAAAGAACTTTTTGAGCCTTACGGAGCCGTCTACCAGATCAACGTCCTCCGGGACCGGAGTCAGAACCCTCCCCAGAGTAAAGGTACAGACCGCACGGGGCACGGGGAGGCCGGGGGGCGCCCAGGTGGCCAGGTGGGCGTCGCGGGGGGCTTGGCTGCGCGGAGCGGGGCTGCGGGCCGCAGGGCGTGCGGGCTGGGAGCGGCTGGGGCCGGCAGCTCCGCCAGGCTCCTCCCCGCGGCCCGCTGGGACAGGTGGGACCGGAGCCCGGCCGGAGCGCAGCCCGCGCCTCTGTGCAGGCGCGTGATTGCTCCCGTGAGGTCACTTTCGAGGCAGTGCAAGCTGCTCTTGGGCGGGGTGGCTGCTCCTCCGAGGAATAGTGGTTCTCAGCCCTGTTGTTTCTGGAGCCAACTCTTTCTACTGCTGCCCATGTAATTACAATTGTATTTCACTTTTCCTGTAGCCCGTGGGGACCTGGAAATGCCTTAGGAATAGTTCCGTGTGGTGCTGGTGCGAGGAAGAAAGGGCTCAGTTCATTCCTGGGGGCTGGATGCGGGGGGAGGTCCTGAAGAGACCTTTTGGAGCCGGGGAGTAGCACCCTACTGGCCTGCGGTAGTCAGCACACCTTCAGGGAGCTTGAGGTTTACGCCCTCATCGGCGCTAAGGTCTAAGTGTACAGTCTGGTGGCTGGGAACTGCCTCCATTTTAAGATGATGAGGATAGGGATGGGAGTTGCAGCTCTTAAAATAGAGGCCAGAAACCATTGTACCTGCTCGGTGCTTTTGCCTAATGGAGTCCACCTTCACAAGCTCTGATTTAACCGTATCTCTTCTGAGGCGACCACTTGGCCCTCTGTCATTTTAACCGTCTCTCTTCAGTAATTTCGTTCTTTCTATGTTTTTTGATCTCAATCTGTCCACTCAAGACTCCTCTCTCCTCCTGTGGGTCTCACTGTTCCTTGTTCTCTGTGCCTTGATGTGTCTCTCCGGCCTGTTCTCATCTTATGTCCCCGTTGCTTCTCCCAAAAGCCCCTGGAAGCTCGTTGCTTGGTGTATACCTACATGTGGGTCGGACACATGTGAGCAGTGGCCCATACTTCTCCCCGAGTCTTTTCTTATTAGCAAGGTGTAAGGGTAGAACTAAGAATCTCCCTTAAGACTGGTGTTCTGTGACTCTGAGAAGTGTTAGGCCATCTCCTAGTCCCTGTAGTTCCTGAGGTCTCATAGGACTTTGGGGAGCCTTTTAAGAAATGTAAGTCTCTAGCCAATAGTCATTTTATTAAGGTGAATAAGCATGTCTTTCAATTATGTTCCTAAGACTCTAGTTTTCTATCTCAAAACACTTTTAAAAAGTAAGGTTGTTTTTGAAAACATTTAGAATTCTGCAACCACAAACTTGATTGTCCCATCATTTGGAAAGTTTTTTGAAAAATCTAAAAACCAGTAGAACTAACAATCTCACAAGTGAGAACAATATTGAGAATCTTTATGGAATATATTTTTGAAGTTATTCACCTACATGTTTCCCAAATGAAGAGGACTAGAGTTGGTTTTAAGACTTAACCCTTCCCAGTACTTCTGCTGAGGAGAAATGGTATAATGTACAGGAATAGAGCTAAGGAGTCACCAGATACAGGCTTCCTGCGGTGTAGAGTGGCACAGAGGTGGTAAACTGTGCTTCGGAGAAGTAGCCACAGTTTGTCCTTGACTAGGAAAATCTGACTCTGAATTTTGGTTTATCAGCATTTTTCAAAATGACCTCTACTCGTTTGCTATGATGATGCTTGGTTACTTTCATTTTATTTGAATAATACGTATCTGACCTTGGCCAAAAAATGCCCTTTTCTCAGTCAAGTAAGCACTTGTATGTGGCCTGGTTTCTCTCCCATTTTCTCTGTTTCCCCCCAATATGTTCCTTTGAGCAACATTTTTACCAGATTATTCTTATTTTTGAGACTACACATGTTTTAACTTGGATACATTAGGTCTTATAATTAATTTTGTGAGAATAGTTTATAGAAGTCCAGGGTGAATGAGAGAAATAACCGTTTTGACCACATGCTGTACATCAGACTGTATGTTAGGAGATTTGTATGTGTTCTCATTTTGTCCTTACTAAAATCCTGAACATAGGTGGTATTCATCACATTTCAGAGGTGAAGAAACTGAGACCCCCAAGAAGTTTTAAAATGTACCCCGATTTACCCAAATAACAAGTGACAGAGTGGAGGTTTGAACACAGCCCATCTGTCTTCATGTGCAACACCGTTTTGCTGTTCAGTGAGTGGAGACCACAAACCAACCCTGACCAGCTCCATTTCAGGGCTTGGGTCAGAGGCCTTCTCCTTTACATAAGTGTTCCCCAAGTGACAGGAAGGAAAGTTGCCCTTTAAGAGCAAGGTTGATTTCATTTCTTCTTTGTGTTTAGTTTTTATACTCATGGGTTTACACTGTACATCATTCCAACTCATGGTATCATGGGACAGGAGTTACAGATGAAATCATTCAAATCTTACCTTTGGAAATACAGGTCAATTCCCATTACTGTGAACTCCAAGTCTCACATCAAATATTGCTTGAAGTATGTGGGCTGTCAGCCAAAGCTTGAAAGGATTTTTGTTATACAGACATCTCTGTTGTAAAGGTATTTGTTGTGATGGGATTTGAGCTGTATAATGACATTCCTCTCAGAGGATTACAGCCTTTAGCCGCTTACATACAGAGAGAAGCAGCCACCACTTTCTTTACGTTGATTTATATGTGTGCCATGAATTATTTGCCTGCTCATATGTAAAATAGGACCCCAAATTTACATCATTTCTGACTCTGTCAGCAGAGTACAATTATCATGTTTTCACAGCACTGATGTCAGAGACTCAGAAACTAGCACTATCAGAGGCTCTTACTAAATGTGGTTTATATTATCTAAGTAAGGCTTTTTAGAGTGGCCTTGATTCATTGCCTTACCAGCATTGATGGTTCCAAGGCAAAGTCAGCCTGTTACTTAGTCCAGCTGGGTTCAGTTCTTCTCACTTTGCATTCTACATTCAGCTTAGTCTTGAGATACGAAGACATTGTCCTATTTCTTAAATAATCCTCTAAGAGGTAGAGTGAGATCTACCTGTTTCTTCTCCCGGTAGATATGTGTTGACCAAGCAGGCCCAGCAACTCTGAGGATTCTAAGTGAGCAATGCCATCTCCTAAGACTTAGGAGGAGCATGTTTTATTCAGTGGTTATCCGTCGAGTCTATGATTAGTGAGGAATATCACATAGTAATTAGGAACATGGCCTCTGAAACCAGACAAGTCTAAATTCAATTTCTAACTGTACCACTTCCTGGATATTGGTCATCCGGTACATTAGTCAGTGCCCTCTGAAAGTGGTGGCCGTCTTTATAGGGTTGCGGAGGTAATCTAGTTCTGCTTTGCACAGAACTGCAGTATGATAGGAACTTGATATGGGGTTATCTGTTATCACAGTTGTTGTTATCATCACCGTATCCGAGAGCTTAAAATCTAATGGAGCTGATAAGGTCAGTTCACAGGCAACGATAATGAAGAAGAACATAAGTTAAAAATAAGAAAGAAATGAGCCTATTGGAACTTACATGAGTTCAGAGAAGGAATAAGTAACTTGCAGCTTACAGGAAATAGGAAAAGATGTCATTTTTACCCAAATTCTGAAAATAATAATAGAGTTTCAGTAAGTAAAGAGATAGTGAACATTACAAGTAGATGGACTGACCTCATTTAGCCATGCAGGTAAGATGATACCGTGCGAGTTCTGGGACAAATTCTTCCAGAGCTCAGAGGAAATGTGAAATACATGAGAGGAAAGGGAAGAAGGGAGGAGCACAAGGCCTAGAACCATAGGCCAGGGCCAGTTCTTACAGAACTTAGATTCTTGGGCTCAGATATTTGAAACGTATTTGTTAGAAACCGGGCATCTCGGAAGGATATTTAAGCAGAAACAACTGGTACAGTGTCTTGACTTTTGCTTAGATAAGGATGTTGCCTGTCATAGGGATGGAGAGTGAGGGGACTGAGTGATGCAGACATGACAGGGCCAGTGGGAAGAGGGCTTGATAACAACATTCCCTGGGAGACTTTGCCTTAACAGAGAAACAGGAAAGCTATCAGCCATGATGGGAATGGAGAAAGAGTACTGTTGAGTTTTGATTGTGCTGAGTATGAGGTGCCACAGCAAGAGTCAAGAAGGATGCAGGCCAAGGAAAAAATACTTTGGATTTGGCGACTAGGGGGACTTGGCAGCATCTTATAACATGGGGTGGGAAGTTGGGCTGGGGAGGGGAATTTCCTAAGTGTTCACGTGAGATTATGAGTGTAGACTCCCCTTTCTAGTCTGATCACTAAAGAAAAGGGGGGTTAGCCATGTAGCTCTTTTCTTCCTTCCTTTTTTAGAGGGCTTTTTAAATGTTTATCTATATTTACTAGAAAGGCAGAATGTTAGAGAGATACCTTTGATCCATTGGTTCATTCCCAAAATGCCTTCAACAACCAGGGCTGGGCCAGGCCAAAGGCAGGAGCCAGAAACTCTATCTGGGTCTTCTACATGGGTGGCAGGGATCCAATTAATTGAACCATCTTTGGCTGCCTCCCAGGGTATGCATTAGCAGGAAGCTGGTTCAGAAACAGAGGTGGGACTTGATCTCAGGCCAGCCGGACATGCGTTGTAAATAGCATATTAATCTGCTATGCCACAGTCATACCACACACACACACACACACACACACACACCTTTTTTCACTGTAAGCAAATGATAAGAAGGTAGAGCAAAACAAGATTCAGAAAGTATACGGTAGACCTGAATCAGAGGATTGGAAGAGACAGAAGGAAAGGCTGAAGAGTGGAAAGTTATTCAGTTGAGACAGCAGAGTAGTTAGGAAGTAACAACACAGAAAATTTCAGTGTCATAGAAGGAAGTGGGAAATACTTAATACAGATGCCCTCAATCTTCTCAGTAAATAGTAGATTTCTAAGAAGGCAGAATAGTGACCTTCGCAGGGTGGGAAAAGTTTAAAAGAAGTACTTGGAAAAATTCAGTAGGAGAAAGAACTGTTGGAG